CGTATAACACCCAGTGCTCCATTCAATACGTGCCCTCCTTAATACCTATCACCAGGCTAACCCTTCCCCCACCCCCCCTAAAACCCTCAGTTTGTTTCTCAGAGTCCATTGTTTCTCATAGTTCATCTCCCCCTTCGATTTACCCCCCTTCATTTTTCTCTTCCTACTATCTTCTTTTTTTTTTTTAACATATAATGTATTATTTGTTTCAGAGGTACGGGTCTGTGACTCATCAGTCTTACACATTTCATAGCAATCACCATAACACATATTTTATACCCAATTTTTATTAAAAATTTTGTGTTTTTTTAACAAGCCCCCATTTTAGGTGATGGGTTTTAAGGAGGGCACTTGTTGTACGATGAGTTTTGCGTGTTATATGTAAGTGATGAATCACTAAATTCTACACCTGAAACCAATGTTACCATATATGTAAACTAACTAGAATTTAAATAAAAACTTGAAGTAAAACATAAAAAAATAAAAAGCCCCATTTTGTAAGTTTCAGGGCCTATGAAACATAGATCCTTCTCTGTACATAATCATAATGCTTTGGAAATTCAACCATAGAAGGTCAGGAACATGTGGGGAAGGTTCACAAAAAACATTAATGTGTCCTTAGCTCTGTTTGGGCCCTAGAGGGCGCTGTTGCCTAAATTGGAAATAGTTTTTCTGTGAAAGTTCAGAATACGCCCACAAAAACCTTTTTCCCTGCAGCTTTTTTTTTAGTGTATGTGCTGCCGAAGCGAGCACTTCCCTGCAGCTTAAAGAGGTGTTCTGGTGGCAGTTTTAGACAATGACATGTAAAGAATCTCAGACACCAGGGGCAGACAGTTTTGCCCAGAAAGCGTCTCTTCCTAACAGCCCCTAAGAAGAAGGAATCTAAATCCCCTATCATTCCTCCTCAACCTCAGAGCCATCTGGATTCAAGTACCCCAGTCATCAGATTTTATTTTATTTATTTTATTTGTGAGGAATTTCCCAGAAAGATACTCCCTGCTTCTTCAACGCTCAGCCATGACCTTCGTGTTCATCTTGACGCTTGGGGTGCTTCTGTTCCTAAGTGAGTAACTTTGCATTTAATTTCCTTGTCCACAAATAAAACATTGTTCTGGTTTGACTCAGAACATAGACTTTTTCTTTTAGCGGAGTTCACTGACTCAGCATTGATGTTTCAGGAGGAACCGGGGCCCAGTCGGTGACCCAGCCTGATGCCCACGTCACTGTCCCTGAAGAATCCCCTCTGGAGCTGAGGTGCAACTACTCTTCTCTTCGGCCCTATCTCTACTGGTACGTGCAGTACCCCAACCAAGGCCTCCAGCTTCTCCTCCAGTACGTATCAGGGAACACCAAGGTTCAAGGTATCAAAGGTTTCAAGGCTGAACTTAAGGACCGTGAAACCTCTTTCCACCTGAAGAAACCCTCAGCCCATTGGAGCGACTCAGCTGTGTACTTCTGCGCTGTGAGTGACACAGTGCCTGGGACTGCAGGGGGAGCTGAACACAAACCTCCTGAGACATTGTAACAAGACCCAGGGTCTCAGCCTGAACTATTTTCAGGACGTTGACACGTTCTGTGAAGATAAACAATGCAGAGAATACAGAATCCTGGGAAGTGTTTGGTTTCTATGGACATCTTAGATATTTTTCCTTTTTTCTTTCCCCCCATTTTGCAAAGGCAAGACCGCTGTTTTTTGAAGTGCAGCATTTTTATCCTCTAGAGTCAGGATTCTAGAGGGAATGAAGCCATAGGATTTTCAACAAGCTGGAGGAAATTACTTGCTCTCATGTCATTTGAGGGCACCTGGGTGGCTCAGTCAGTTAAGCGTCTGCCTTTGGCTCAGCTCATGATCCCAGGGTCCTGGGATCCAGTCCCACATACGTCGGACTCCATGCTCAGTGGGGAGTCTGCTTCTCCCTCTCTCTCTACCCCTCCTCCCCACTCATGCTCTCTCCCTCTCTCTCAAATAAATAAATAAAAATCTTTAAAAAATAAAAAAAAAAACCTTGAAATAGTGATGGGCAAAGATAGTTTGGGGTTGGCCATGTGAGTCTGCATAGGGCAGATTGGAGCATTGCTTTGCAGAAACCCAGGACAATTGCTTATGTCAACCTGAATTATCTCCAGAATATTTTACTAGGATCCTGAGAGGCTTCTTTCCTCAAAGAACCTCAACACTATGGCTAAAATATTTGAGAATGGACCTAATTAAAGCTGACATTATAAGAATACATACAGGTAACCTTTAGAACGAAGGGAAAAGGGCCTTCTTTGTCCCGTGGTCCTTGATAACAGACACCCTAAATCAAACATACTGTCATGCTGGAGTTCCATGTGAAATCTTGGGCTAGTTTGTTCTATGAGTGACCAGCCTTTTTCTTTATCAGACACACCCAGGTTACGGCTCCCCTCTTTTTCTCTCCTCTAATTCAATTTCTCCAATACCCGTTGAATGCCCAACAATAATTAGTGAATCCTTCATCATCTTTTTCCCTACAGTTTTTCTTACCGTGCCGTTAGTAAACATTTGCAATATTCTTGAGCAAGTCACCTGATCTTCAGTGTCTGCAGATCACTTGACTTCAGTAAAAATATGGAGGGCCTCGTTTTCCATTCCTTGAAACTCCAAATCCATCTGCAGAGGATTCTTTTTTTTTATTGTTAATCATCATACATTGCATCATTAGTTTTTGATGTAGTGTTCCATGATTCATTGAAGGATTCTTGTTATTTATAGAGTCTGAGACAAGAGCACAAACTGAAATTATATTTATATGTTTTCAAACAGTTATTTTTCTTTTAAAATTATCAAAGCGAAAAAGCAAAATACAAAAACATAATAATCAACAGTTTCAATAAAATGTATTTAAAACTGAAATTTTATTTAAAAATTTTAAGCTTAATTTTAGATGTTTTTTATAAAAATAAGGTTATTCACAGTTTTGGTGTCAATGTCCATCTAGTTGCTAAAGTAAATAACACCAGTTTTTATGCAGGCTGGTCTAGAATAAATATGCATCGTTTTAAAGTAGTATTGGTAAATTCTGCAAAGTGTTCCAGCCACCATGAGCGACTGTTTTGAGTCCCATGCTGATGTGAGCAGCTTTCAGAACCACAGATGAGTACACAGAGAAGCAAGAAAATGGATCCTTAGCGCTCCCGGGAAATAATACTTCATTATGCAAGAACCTATTGTATCCATGCCATCTGAAAGGAAAGAACGGGTTAGTTCATTGATTTTTCTTTTCTTTTACCTCAGATCCCCCCAAATTCCAAATCAATGTCTACAGCAACACAGCTCACAAGTTTTTCTGATAGTCAAATACAGTTTCAGAGGCAAATGTTAAGGTATGTGAATAAGCCCTTTTCCCTGAGCCTAAACGGTATCTTAGTTAGTTAAGGTTACAGACTGTGCCCAGAGCCAAGTCACAGAGACACCTGAATGCTTTAATACACTTATTCATGTGTGTGTGTGTGTGTGTGTGTGTGTGATGAGTGGTCCTGTCCACATACTTGCTCATCTTCTCTGTTCTTTGTATTTAAAATAACAGGCCACCGTTCAAAGATCGCCCATCTTTGCTTTTGTTACTCTCCACTCTTGTCACCTGCATAGAAGGCATACAGTATCATATCCTCCACTGAGCTGCCTCCCATAATAGAGGCTGAAAGTAATTGTTGCTGTCTTGATGTTCGTGTAGTATTTATGGCATGCTTTTATGGCTGCATCCTCTAGGCCTTTATTCCATTTGAGAGATATTTGTCTCCCTCACTATTATCACAAGCTCTCAGAAGGGAGATCTAGTGGCTAATTCATTTTTGTATTTTCCCAGGTCTGGAACACTCTTAAATACGTTGGCTGAACTATATTGAATCACATTGGGGAAAAAATCACATTGGAGCTTCATTTTTTGTAAGTTCCTAGCTAAGAATTAAATAGATTCTTTTCATATCATTACCTAAAAATATATTACATGAAAGTATTTATTTTCATAAAAAAGGACCATGGGGGAATCATGGTCCAATCCATGGTTCTCTCCATCCTTGTGGACACTTCTGTGGTTTCAAGTCAATCCACAGGTACACCCCTGCCAAGGATGGCTGGGCTGAGCTATGTACACCTGCTAAGTAAGAGGTGTTTGTTAAGGTTCTAGCCCATTAGGAGGCACTATAGGTTTTCTTAAACCAGGACTATGCTGAAGGACCTAGTTGTGAATAGTACTAGTAATAAGTAGTAAAAGAAGGCAGAATAATTGTGTATAAGGAAAAACTAAATCATTATCAGCATATAAGAAACATGCTTCTTGCTGAATATTCATTTCAATTAGTAGTTCTGCCTTATTCCCTAATTCAAGTACTGAAAGTTTCTAGCTGTAATGCATATATCTGTGTTTACATTGTTATGATCTTTATCTGCTTCATTACCTTAATCTGCCTCTATCAGAAAAGACTTCTAGATCAAACAGAGAGTCCTATAAAGCAAAAGGGAAGATGAATTCCCAAGTTCAGAAATCAGATTTTTCTGATTTGTTTCATTTTTTCCTGCCTAAGAATTTTCTGGATCGGGAGAAATAGAAACTTCTGTCACAGGTCCAAAATTATTTCTAAATCATTGCATGCCACCTTTTCTTTAGTATCCCTTCTGTCTCTTACCTACAACTAGAAAACTAAAAATAGGGAAGACAGAGAAGCTAAGGGGGAAAAAAAGGAGAATATGAAGAAGTAGAAGCACACTGAGGAGGAAGATGGAAGGAAAAGAGGAAGATAGAGAAATTAGAAAAGAGATTCATTGAACCGCAAGTGTGAGTCACAGGAAACTTTACAGCCAAGAATTAGAAAAACAAAATATTAAGCAGCAAAGTGAATATGTAGAAATAATGTCCAAATTGATCCTATTTTTTTTCCTCACAACTTACAGTCTTATTAGGTTCATTTCCCATAATAATATTTACCACCAGTCTTGGTAATTCCAGGAGAGTCTCAAGCCATAAATATTGCACATATTCCAATAATAGGAACTCATTATGTAATATATAACATTTATGTTTTTATTATTTGGCACAATGACTCTCACATAATTAATTCATAGGTGAGTAAACATCTTTTTGTCAGAATGCTTGCTTGTTTTTTAGATTTTAAAATGTGGAAATTGTTTCTGTGATCTCCCTCCCCCATTAGCTTAGATGAAGCCTGGTTCCCTCCCCGGGGGGCCTCCCCCTTTCCTTCCCCCATGATGTGACTTCCAGGATTGCCAGCAAGTGTTCCTGAAGTCGTAACCCCCACCCAGCCCCTTCTCAGTGGGCTGAGGGTGGGGCTTCATGTGGCAGAGGTCCGGGCCAGAGCAGTGTGTGTTGGGTGAGGCTGATTTGTCACAGAAACAGGAACAGTTCCAGATCCTAGTGGTGACACGCACGCCCCAGGGTTTAGTTAAACAGATCTTGTGGTGAAAAATGTCCTGGTCAACAAGGCAAAGCATTATGAAGAGGCTATTGGTCACTGTGCTGGGACTTTTGTGCACCCAGGTTTGCTGTGAGTTGGGATTGTCCCCCGTGGGAATCTGAAAGGATTTGGTAGCTCCAGTATTATTGAGGGAGGAGGGAAGGAAGGAAGGAAGGAAGGAAGGAAGGAAGGAAGGAAGGGGGAGGGAAGGGGCTTACAAGCCTTGCAGACTTTCTATGCGCATAATCTGTGGGGACGTTTTCCAGGTTTTGTAGGTGTTACAGTGACCATCACCTTGCCCGTGTCTCTGTTTCTCATCAGGTGTGACAGGCGCAGTGGTGGAGCTGAGGCCCCCGGCCCTGAGTCTCCAGGAGGGATCCAGTTCCACGCTGCAGTGCAATTTTTCCACCTCTACGACTAATGTGCACTGGTATCGCCAAGATCCTGGGGGCCGCCTCATCCACCTGTTTTACATTCCTTCAGGGACAAAGCAGAATGGAAGATTAAACTCTACGACAGTCGCTAAGGAACGCCGCAGCTCACTGTACATTTCCTCTTCCCAGACCACAGACTCAGCCACTTACTTCTGTGCGGTGGATCCACAGTGCTCCCCAGGCGCCCGCAGCTTGTGCACAAACCCTCAGCTGGGCTGGGCTCCTCCTCCAGCCGCCTTCAGATCAGGAGCCCGCCGCACAGCATCTGTACAGCTTTACCACTCCTTACCGTATCTGCAGAGTTGGAACCAGATGCTTGTTTGTCCTACAGATTTGGGACTTTGGTCTTCATCTTCCCTTCTCAATCTGGTGTCTCTTTTTCTGTACTATAAACCTCTAGCTTGGAACACGCAGAGTAGCTAATAAGAAGACAGAATTAAAATAAATATTTAAGCCACAGTAGGCTGGACTCCAAAAGGGCAAAAAGTCAAAGGAATAAAAAGAAAAAAAAAATCACTCCAATAAAGATGTTACTAGACAATGATCCAGTTTAGCTGGGTGTCTCAGGAGTGTTCAGGTCTCTCTTAGCACAATGTGTTCCAACAGACAATTGCAAATAGTTGCATCCCATCCTACTAGTGCAGCAAAGCAAACAAAAAAATTTTCTGCTGAATGTTCATATATGAACTTGGTCACTGAACACAAAACAAACTTATTCTTTTATAGTTTTGGACTCAACAAGTCTGAAATCAGTTTCTCTGTCTAGTAAAAGTTCTCGGCAGGGTTGAGTCCTTCTAGAGGGTCTGGAGGAGAATCCATTCCCTTGCCTTTTCTAGCTTCTGGAGGCCACCTGGATTCCTTGGCCCATGACACATCTTTGAATCACTCCAGCCTCTTGCTTCTACTACAACTCTTTCCTCTTCTGGAGTCAAATCTCCTACTTCATTTTTATAAAGACACTTGTAATTCTATTTTGGGCCTACCCAGATAATCCAGGATAATTCACATCAAATCCTTATATTAATCACATATCTAAAATCCCTTTTGCCATATTCGTTCACATATTCAGATACCCAGCACATTAAGACCTGAATATCATTGGGGGTCATTATTCAGGCCATATATATATTATAGCAATTCTGGATCTCCATTCCCCACCCCTTTTAGGGCTTGTTGTTTGCTTGTTTATTTGTTTGGTGCCTTGACTCTTTCAGTTAAGCCAATTTTTCCCACGTTGTGCAGCCTCTGACATTGGTCCTAGGAGGACACTGTCTTGGGGATGTGTCCAGACATGCAGATATGATAGTGGTTTTAGCAAGACACTCTTTGGCGGTCCTTTTCCCTGATCTGTGGTAAGTAAGGTCTCTGCCCTGTTTGTATGACACCTTGCCACTAGCCTCAATCAAGTGTTGGCTGATTGTTCCGTCATTTTCAACAATATCTCAATTGGCATCAATTGCTCCAAGCCCCCTTGCAGAGGTAGTCTTTTAGATTCATCACTGAGGCTTGTTCTGACCCCTGGAGGATTCTTCCTAGCTCTCTTTCCTGTAAAATTTCTAGCTAGTTCATGATTTAGCTTATTGCTGTCCTTGAGCTACCTGACTTCTATTAATTGCTTACAACCAAAAATCTCTGCTGTTTTCAAAAGTACCCTTAAACTTGAACTTCCTAATGCTCTGTTCCAGATTAAGTCTTCTCTATGGGAGAGCTCTGTTCTTATAGCTGCTTCTCTCCCTGGGCATAACCTCTGTGCCACTACTCTGGAGTTGTGAGAAGGGACAGTGGTCTGCATTTCCCCTAGTGATATTCTTGCTTTATGAGCAGTGTGTTGGGTGGAGGCAGTAGCTTCTGGTCTTGGCTTGCCTTTCCCAGCATGGAACCACCACTCTATGAGTGAGCTGGGGTGAGTGCAACAGGGACCCAGTATTCTCAGTCTGTCATGCCTGGGGTACAGCTTTTCTGCCCTGTGAGTGGGGTGAAAAGTAGGCACTCTGTGGCTTCTCTTGCTTGCAACGGAGTCTCTGTAACAAAAAAGCTGGGGGAGATAAGAGATGTTGGCAGTCAGCCTCTCCCAGGGAGATAGTGTAGCCCTATATCAGGAGTTGGGGGGACAAGGACCCCTGTGTTCTTGGTTATACCCACCCAGCATGAGCTTCCATCATCCTGAGCTGGGGTAAGGGGGGTGGGGAGTGGGTCATGGCTCCATTGCCATAGACACCTTCTGTTCTTAGAGATTTAGTAGATTTTCCTGAATAAATATTTCTCTACATGCCCTTTTTATTTGCTGTATACCCTTAGGACAATGTCCAGAGAATTTAATTTTTAAAAAATAATTTCCACCAGTTATGATTGCTTTTTGGGGGGACTGTATCCATGGATCTGATGTGGGAAACAGAGATAGAAAGAATGTAGATAAAAATGTCTTTATAACCTGCAGCCCATTGACAAATACTTGAGGCAGGCAGAGTATAATGTTCCTCCAGGAAACTCCCAACTGTCTTTATGTTGACTCCTTGCTAAAGGCAAAAACAGTCTTAGTTTCACAATAGCAAGGCCTCCAGGATCCTGAGAGTCTTCTTTAGCATATGAATATCCTTTGGGAACCTCCCTTACCTTTACTTCCCCCAACCCCCAAGTATATAATCAGTTGCTCCTCACAATCCCAGGGCAGCAGCTCTTCCTGTCCACAGGTCCTGTCTCCGCGCTTTTATAAAACCACCTTTTTGCATCAAAGACATCTCAAAAATTCTTCCTTGGCTGTTGGCTCTGGACCTCACCTCACCAACATTCCAAAACTACGTAAGATCTACTCACACTGCCATTCTGCAATGTACAGCCTCCTATTCATGTTACTAGCACATAGAATAGGCCTACACAGAGAATAGCCGAAAGTTGAACTTTGAGATACATTGATTTTCTCCGTCAAGAAAGAAAGCCATCATCTTGCTTTTAGCCTGACCCTGCCCCAGATACAATTAATCAAACACACCATGTATCGTCATCATAAAACAACCGTGTATTCTGGAGAGGGTTAATGATTAAAAACAGGAATACCATATCTTTTCTCAAATCAAGCACTAGTTGTTCTTAGAGTTATTATCCAAAATAAATGAAGACTAAGGCTCATCTCTAAGTTTCTGACTCTTTAACAGAAAACACCATTAGTGTTGATTTTTACAAAGTCCAACAGTGTAGTTTTGAGTTAGGAAATGGTTGGGGTTCGAAGCCGATGGCCAAGAAAGAATTCTTGAGATGTCTTTGGTACAAAAAGGTGGTTTTATTAAAGCACGGGGACAGGACCCGTGGGCAGATAGAGATGCACCGGGGTCATGAGGAGTGGCCCATGATACATTTTCAAGTTGGGAGGGGGTTAGGGAATAGCATAAGTCACTAAGGAATTTTGGAAGCAAGGTTTCCAGGACCTTGAGGGGGCTAGCTATCATTAGGAAAAGGTCATTTATTACTGTCTAGTAAAACCCTAGTCATGAGACCCTTCAGATGTATATCGGTGAGTCATGTCCTTGGAGGATGACTGCCAACATGTGTCTTGGTGGGTAGAGATAAAGGAAGTTTCCAAAGGAATTTTTGTATGTTAAAGTAGACTCACAGGATCCTGGGGGGTTGGGATAATGTTAAGCTAAGATTGCCTTTTCCCTCATCAAGGCAGCTGAGCTGCCAGAGGGTCACGCTGCCTGTTTCAAGGACTTGTCAATGGGCTGTAGGAGGTAAGGAAATTTCATTTTTTCTCTTGTCTTTGCTTCCCACATTGGGCACATCACGTCTACTGAAGATATCACGATTATAAGAGTATGACTATTTTTCCACCAATAGAAAATAATGAACAACTTAAATACCCATTGTCTTAGATCCTGTTCCCCAGAGGCACACCTTGAGATAAGGATTTGTGCACCTGAAAAGGAAAGGGAAAAGGCCTAACAAGGGTCAGATTTCAGGTGACCTGATTTTGTGGGGAGCTCTAGAGCATAAATCCCACCACAGTTTTCTTTATCCTTTGACGGCAGTTAGTGCATATTTTCTTGTGAAAAATTTAAAAATTTTAAGTTTTTTACTATTTTCCCCTATACCCACAACAAACCTAACATCAAGAACATCTGTTCTTGTTTGAAACTCAACATCAGCATTAGTTGATATGATATCAGAACTCATAAAATCAACATTTGTGATTATGGGAAAATGAATTTCTCTTTGTAGCTCATTCTAGTCTGAATCGTGATGTTTATTGCTCTGTATGTCTGCTAAGTCACTGGTTCCAAAGTCAGAATTTTCAAAGCAATTGTGGACTGTGTAGTGATGGATGATTGTGTCCACATAGCAGTAAGATTCTTCACTGAATCACGAGCACGCCATTAAAAAAATATCCATAAAAGATAAATTACCCAGTTTAAAAATGGGCAAAATATTTGAGCAGACTTCTCATAAAAGATATAGGAAGAACCAATAAGCACATAAAAAGATGCTCTACATCAGGAGTCAACAAAATATGGCCCAGAAACCAAATCTAGCAAGCCATCTATGTTTGCAAATAAAGTTTTATTAGAACATAGCAATGCTCATGTATTTATGTATTATCAGTGGCTTCTTTCATGCTACAATGGCAGAGTTGAGTAGTTGTGGCAGAGACCGAATGGCCTGCAAAGCCTGAAATATTTACTATTTGGCTCTTCATGGAAAACGTTTGCCAAACTTCCTACATCATTAGTCATCAGAGAAACACAGGGTAATACCACAATGAGATCATTACACAACTATTATGTTAGCTGAAAAAAAAATAGGTGACTATATCACATTTTGGCAAAGATATAAAATAACTGTCTACATTAGAATTTATTTAAGGACCTGTTCTCTTCAATATGAAGGGCTCTCCCTGATCTGAGGTTGGTATTACTGGAAGAAGGACAGCCCAAGCAGTGACTCAGCTTGAGGGCCAATTTCTGCCTCTGAAAAGCCCCTAGGGCAGGTGAGATTGACAGGAGCCCTGTTGCCTCTTGGTACGTCCAGCATCACAACCAGGACCCCCAGATCCATCTGAGATAAACCTCAGTAAATAGCCATAAAGGTTTCATAGGGGAACTCAACAAGAACAAAATCTCCTCCATCTGAAGAAATCACTGGCTCAAGAAGACTCAGCCTCTTACTTCAGTGCTCTGATTGATCCAGGGATTTCTGAACACAAAGTTTTAAGAAGCTGCATAAAATTGTTCAGTGTAACTTTTCTATATGGCCACCAAGAGGCAATGCTGCTTCAGAGATTAACATCGGTCTCACACACACAGGATCATCAGCTAGCCAGAACTAATATTTTAAAAAAATTTAACGAGCTATTATCTCCTACTTTGCTTAAATTTGTATCTATCAATCATCTATCTATGTATCTATCTATCTACCTACATATCCATCCATCT